TTGTGGTTGTGTGATGATGACATTGATAATGTGTTGTTTTATGACTGCGATTTTGTTCTAGTGAGTCAAGGTGACTTTGACCTTGAACCGTCTTCGGGAATAGTTTGGTGCGTGATTGTAGTTGACAGAGTTTTTGATCCCATCTTGTTGAGAATATTCTTCTTGATTCTCAAAAAAATACTTCTTACGGTTGATTTTGGTTAACTTATTTTGTTCTACAGTACTTGTTTTGTACTGGGAAATTGTTGGCACTGTTGAGGCAATTTTGAGTTTTCGATATGTTATCATTGTTAAGGAGTACCGTAGATTTTATCGTGAATAACTGTCCTAATAGTGTCGTTGGGACATTTTATGTCCATGAGTAACTCAAGGAAGTTCTGATTGGCTATAAAGTAGAAAGCGAAGATTGGTTCCCTGAGTTCAGACCACAACACGCTGGTCTTCGTAGTTATTATTATTGTTCCCTTGGGTTCCTAGTGGAACATAGGGCTTCAACTGCACATCTCCACTTGTTTCTGTCTTCTGCTGTACTTTTTACTTGCGTCCATGTTAGTCCATACTGTTTCAACTCTTCTTCACACGATCTCCATGTCACCCTTGGACGTCCAACGCGCCGCTTCCCTTTCGGGTTCCAATCGAGCACTGGCCTGACGCGCGATGTCGCCCAATGGCCTCCCCAGCGAGTGTCCCATCCATCTCCACTTTCTCCTGCATATTTGTTGAGCGATTGTTTTGTTCTTGTTTTGTTTGTTCCCATAGCTTCTTGTTTGTGATTCTTTCCGACCATCTTATCTTCAGTATAGAACGAAGACAGTTGTTGATAAAGGTCTGCAACAGGCTGTTGGAAATATTCTTTGTGACCCGCCAAGTTTCTGTTCCATATAGAAGAAATGACTTGACGTTTGGTCTTGGTAGTTACACTTATTTAACTAAACTAATAACAATAATGTGTTCTCCAAATAGCGGTGGATACATCATGAAATATTTTGAAGGAAAGTAATGGGTTGACTGAAATAAAACGAATAGGTGAAACTGATTGCTGTGACTAAGGTTAAATTCCGTTAGTTAGTAGCGACACAACTGTGTGTCTGAGTATACGCTGATTCACCAACATAGTGTACGTACTGCAAATACTTCTAAATCATATAGATCTTGGATTTGTATAACACTCCTTTCATTTCAAAATGAAACTTGTAACGAGAAGAACAATTATTAATGATGAAGAATTGCCCCATACTCGCCAATGATGGCGAGTATTTGTCCTCCAAACAGACCTGCTGCACTCTGCCCATCACGACTTCCCACTGATGAAGAGTCCCAAACTGGGCCGAAACACCTGTCCAGTACTCCTAGTAGTAAAAATAGGTTTGGAAAGGTAGAAAACTCTTCAAAATCAAAATGTTATGACACTAATTAACAGTCAAGTAAAATAGAATGTTAGTGGAATCAATGAAAACTTACATCTAAATAAATAAAAGAATTTATTCAATAACCAGTCATAAGCTACAAATCTAAACAAAGACGGTATGAATATGTTAAGAGGATGCGTATAAATCAGCTCATTTTTTAGTTCAAAACTATCCTTCTCCTGATAACAGCATAAAATATAATGATAGACTTTAACTCTTTGAAGGAAAAGCGTTGTTCACAATCTACAATATACTAAGCAGCAACAACAAGCCTCTGTCACTATCTGCGGAAGAAATTTGAAAGAGGCTACTCCCTTTATTTATCTTGGCAACATCGTCTCAACTACAGGCACTCATCACAGATGAAGATGTCAAGACCATAATCATAAAGTCAAAGGCAACTTTCATCACTCTGATAACATCAGTATGGAAATCTCCTGCACTCAGTCAGCATAAACAACAAAATTCGGATTTTCAGCACCATTGGTAAGTTGGTCACTTCTTCTATATTGGATCAAAAACAAACAAAACATCCCCAACAGACTACTGCAAACTTTTATTGGCAGTTGCCTTTACTGGCTCCATACTGAAGATCAAATTGCCGGATGGCCAGAAAGAATCAGCTACAAGAAAACTGATGTAAGGTAATCAGTTGGCAGGTTTAAGAGAAGGTGATTGCACCGTCCTCCGGTAGCAATAGGTTAGATCTTATTCTTATAGTTGAATTAGCATCTCTTAAAGGAAACAAGTCTGTACCCCTCACACAAAAACCTGACGAACACTGATTTTATGTCCTACATCAAAATTAAAAAAAATTAAATTAAATTATTTATAACTCATTATAAGATATTCATATTTAATAGTTTGAAAAACTTTAGACATTTGGTAAATGGCTGGGAGTGGTGGCGTGCGCCTGTAATCGAGCTACTTGGAGGCCAGGGTGCGGAATTTGTGCGTCAGTGGCATAGCAAGTAGTTAGGACGCTCGTCGACCATGCACATGGTTCGACGTACACCTGATACCAATGGTAGGCCTGCAAAATTTGGGCTACCGATATCCATGCTGAAAATGCCATACTTGCACTGAAAATACGGTGTGGTATCAAGCTGTAATCAAAATATAAAAAAATAAATAAAAAATAAAAAATATAGATGTTACACGACTAAGCTTGAAGAAACTTTGCTCAATATGCTTGCTAGTGACTTGCTACACGATGGACTTTCCTGGAGTTCTAGTGAGAAGTCGTGACCAGTGAGGTTCATCCAGGCACGTTTGAGGATGGATGTTCCACTGACGACATTAGTTAGAGTCGCGCTAAATCACTAATTGGTAGAAGTTAGAATTCATGAGCTTTTGAATCGGTTCTCAGTGGCTGAATGGTATACGAGCCAGCTTGCCTTGTAACCGGAAGATCCTGGGTTCGAACCCTGTTCGTGGGTGCGTACTACCGATGATTCCCAAACTAACTGGATGAAACAGCTGTCCAGTACTCCCTGTGGCTGGTTTTCAATGGTTCTCTAATTCATATCAATCCGTGATCAATTCGTAAAAACATAACTAACCCTTACAAACCAAATACAGAAATAAAAAATATATATTAATTTACTTCAAATACCTCTACCAATGCGCTCACTCTCATGGCTGCATTGTCTTTCTAGAGTTTGCACACCTCATGTTGTGCCGTTAAATCAGCCAAACAGGATAGGAAATTCTCTTCAGTTCTCAGTTGAGTCTGTATTTGTCTCTTTAAGAAAATCCCCCTGTATTTCTAGGCAAGTTAGACGAAAACTGGCTACCTTTTGGGAGTCAGAGGTTTTAGTTTCATATTTTCTGTTTTTCAATAGAAACTATCTCTTCTATGTATTTGTTGTGGGATTCTGTTTTAATAATCACTGGTTCATTTTATGGAACAATGACAAACCTATTTAACTGAATTTTAGATTTCCCCGACCGAAGGGATCGGTCTCAGGTTGACATGTCGGCTTCTTGTGCAGATGCTTCGACGATATCTGGGCATGTAGTTAGAATTTAACTGGTGAGTGGTGACTAGCAGTGGAATCCAGGATGCGCATTTCGTCCTATTTGGGACTCGTCATTTGGATGTACCTGCACTCCCCAGTGAGTGATGATGTTCCCACCGAGGCTCGAACCCAGTGCCCAAAGTTTCAAACGCCAAAGCCTTATCCATTAGACCTCTTGGGCCACGAGAGCCACCTCTTGTGCAAAGGGTTCAAGCCTCGGTGGGAACATCATCACTCACTGGGAAATGCAGGTACATCACTCTGATGACTCCCAAATAGGATGAAATGCCCATCCTGGATTCCACTGCTAGTCACCATCCATCAGTTAAATGACAAACCTAGTTTATTAACAAGTGCCTTTACTAAACTACAGCGTGATTTCGTCAAAATAATACAACAATGTTACAGCCAATTAGAATAACCTCACTAATTCTGCTTGTAAGGGAGTTATTGCTTGGAAAATCCCTCCTGAACAATCCACTTACAATATTCATACTTATTTGGATGTTTTAAATAACTCAGAAGTTAGCATCTTTTTTTGCTCCTAGAACGTATATCATTATTCATACGTTTGCATAGCATCTGTTGAATTAGCCCCAATTATTTGTCTCTGTCCCTATTTAATCTCTAATTATAATGCTTTTGTTTGTGGTCGTGTGGGGATGTTAATATCATATTGTTTTATGATGTGATTTCGTTTGGATGAGTCATCATCATTCTAACCTTTGACTGTCTTTGGGAACTGTTGGCGTGAGATTCTTGTTCAGAGAGTTTTTGATCCCACCTTGTTATGAGCATTCAACTTGCTTCTAAGTGCCTGTTTTCCACTTAGAAAGTTACCTCATCTTATTGATATCAGACTTGGGCACTAAGGTAGAGTATAAGATAAGATTTTATTTTGATAAATCACACATTGTTGTACAGTAATGTTTACTGATGACGATTTGAGCACAAATTATTGTTCAGAATCACATTAAGGCACTCACACAACTTGCTTGCTTCATTTAAGTGAAACGTCATCAGTAAATATTACTGTACAACAGTGAGATTTATCAAAACAAACTCTTATTCATAATGGAGTTACCTTGTCTGTTTGGCTGCCTAAAGGCAATTTTGAGAACCACGGATTTACCGATGATTAATTAAATGGTCTTTCTGCTGTCTTTGGGGCGTTTTATGACTGTGCGCCTTTGACAGAATTTTCAGACAGTTATACAGTATGATGCAAAGATCGCTTCCCTGATTTCAGATCACAACGACCACTTGCAGGTTTTAAGCTGCATTCTCACCCTGTAAAACAAAAAACAACCCCATTACTGGTGAAGATTAAAAGCACAGAAAAAATAAACTAATCATTCTGATAAATCCTATTTTCATTTTCCTCTGCAAAAAAAAACAGTTTCGTTACACTTTACACAATATTACTTTGAATGACTAGTTATGTATTAAGAAAATCCCACATTTTAAGTCTTATTGTCAATGGACATGCACTAACACACTGATTGATTGATCTACTGACTAACTCAATAGATTTTCTAAACTCGATTTCTCCTTCCTTTCTGACCTTTAGACTTTATGGCAAAACAGGTGAATGTTCTGTCTGTCAGAAACGTGTACAACCATATGAATTTGTTATGAAGGTGAAAAATAGTGTCTATCACTTGTCTTGTTTCTGTTGTCAACATTGTCAAATGAGGTAAGTCATCCGTGATATGCCTTTGTATCGCTACACAACAATTAACTGTAGTTACATTTATGAAATAACCATGAAACAACTAATCCTCATCCTAGAAACGATATGAATTATCTACCTAGGCCGCTAACAATCAGGTCAGAACTTCAGTAAAGTGTTCGAACTCTTGGATTTATTCAGTACTATATATACATACTTTATTCCTCCACGTTCCCAGTAGAACATAAGGATTCAAGCTACAGGCTTGAAGTTTCGGTAGCAGTGGTGTTTGTTTTTACGGGATGGAGTTGGTAACCTTATGCTCAACCTTCCCTCTTTACGAGTCTTATTAGTGGCTTAGCGAGGTAAAGGAGTGCGTCAGCCCGAGACCGAACCCTGAACCACCTGCGTGGTTGGCGAGCATCTTACCGCTGTGCCACCGATGCACATGTATATATACATTACTCCCCGAATCGTTAACTGGAGAGTTGGTAATCTACTCCGGCCACTCAGATGGAACAACGAGAACACTCAGGCTGTGGCTATCATCATGTCACTAACAGCAGAGAAGGCTCTTATGCAACGGAAATCAACCCATTTCCCAAGGTCCATGATACCAAGATTCAGTTCAGAAGACACGGAAGCTACAACTATGCAGTATTATGAACCCCCGAACGACACACGCCCAGAGAAGAAGGAGGGCTTCTACAGATAATTCACTGCAAACAGTAAAGGACAATACATCAAAATTTTATAGGGCGATACTAACATCAAACCAGGAGCACATAACACAGGAAGAGGACTCATCATGGGTTGAGGGGCGCTCAGTGAAATGAATGAAAATAGAGAACTCTTGACAGACTTCTGCTCCCCCAGTGATTTGGTGACTGGAAGCTTCAAGAACATGCAGAAGGATATACACAAGATAACTTTGGTCCCACCAGATGGACACACCAAATATCAGATAGACCTCATCTCAATTTCAAGAAAGTGCAGATGTAACCTACCGGACACAAAACCGAAAAAAAGACCAAAAGTGGACTAAGACCACTATCCAATGCAACGAGCCTTCAAAGTCAAGTTGAAAGACTTCAGAGAAGATGTAGATGGACCACATTTTAAGTTCAGCACTCAAAAGCTGAACGATGAAGCTATACAGAACACTTTTACTACAGTCAGCTGGGAAACAGTCAGTGGCATTAAGCAAAATCTTCAGTGAAACGTGCATGGAAGAACACTGGAACTCTTTGAAAGTAGAAGGAAATCTGTATGGGCATCGTAAGCAAAACAAGGAGTAGCTCTCTATGAACAAGTGAAAGCTGATAGAGGAGAAAAGGATGGTGAAGCAGGAGATGAATCAGCGCAGAAACGAGCAATGACAGGAGAATGTGAGTGTAATCTATGACTCAATGAACAAAGGAGTAAAGAACAGTTCTAGGAAAGACAAAAGACACTTTTACGAAAAACTGGTAACTAGAAACAGAATAGGCTACAGGTAAAAGAGACCTCACAACACTGTGTGAAATAACTATGTAGTTATTCAGGAAAAGATCAACGCAGATGAAGCCAGTGACAGAGGATGAAGAAAACCCCTATTGCCAAAGAGGAGAAACAGAAGAAACGCTGGCTTGATAATCAGCGAGATACTAACACAACGCCTTAGAAATGCGGTAAAAAGAGCATTCCCTGCTGCTGAATTACGCTGTGTTTTCAAAACCACTCCTCTTTTGTGTTCAGGGGTAAAAAAGAAACTGCCTAATTTCGCCTCTTCTGTGTGTATCTAGCAATTTAACTGCTCCTGTGGAGTGAGCCAGTTACATAGGCCGTACAATTAGGCGTGTTTCTCATCGGATTTCAGAACATCACCCTGCATGGCTAAGTAAAGAACAAAATCTTTTCGTAGCACTATTATATCTCATCTTATGGATACAGAACACAAGACTGATGTTAACCAGGCTTTCAGGGTCATTTACCAACATAACAACAAATCTTAACTTTGCCTTAAGAGTTCGTTTACCAAATATTGCTGAGGCCATAGGGATACACATTAAGAAGCCTAATTTATGTGTCCAAAAGAAGCTAGTTCGGACATTATCCTCACCTTGGCCATCTGGGTTTGAATGATCCTGAATTCTTGTGGAAATTTCCTAATTTCGGTTGACATTATATTTGTTATTATGGTATTATTACCATAATTTAAGCATCTTTAATGACCTGTAATTCCATTGATCTTACTTTACAAATCGATATTATTTAAAAAAATACTAATATTCTTATTGACTACTATTCTAGAATATTCTATCTATATAAAGATATATATGTATAATTGTAGAGCGATAAGAGGAAATTATCGAAAAGGATATTCTTTGCTCAATTACTTGGTGTAATATAGCACTATTGATGGCTTTAATTACACCTTTATTTCGCCACACTTGTAAATGGGGTGTTCCCGAGGACGAAAAATTAGGTTCCTAGAGCGATGGCCAATACAACTGGCTAGACAGGAGCAGCTGAATTAATAGATACAATTAGAAGTGGCCATTCTAGACACTTCGTCTCTGTATAAAAATAAACTTCAGAAGTATGAATTTTTGAGTAGGTTTGAATTGAATAAAATAGTTAATGGTTACTTTGTAATTTCTGGTGATCATTCAAATATCATCTAGGACAACATTGTCAGCTATTTGCATCAATAGTCCATTAACAATTTGATCGTTTTTATCAGCTGCATATGTTGATGAATAATCATTTATTTTTCATGAATTAAGACTCTCAACTGTTTGTTCAATTCTGCCACATAGGTTTTGTATCGGAGATCGCTTTTATCTACATAATAACATCATACTCTGTGAACATGACTACATGGAGTTATTTCCACATCTATTTACACAAAACATCAGTTTGCATTCACATCCCACAAAAAATGAAATGATCATGGATACCAGATTGAATGATTCATGTTTTTGTTTAAATGAATCACTGGTGAATAATCAACATATTGATGATGGCGCCATTGTTGGTGGTGCTAATATTGATGATGGTGATGAAGAAGAAGAATCTGATACAAAATTTGGGGTTAACCTCAACTATTCAAAATTTATTCCTGCAGATATTCATACATTTCCAAAATCCAAAACACAAAATATCAATGAACATACTGTCTTAAGTAGTAGTAATAAATCAATTGTCAATATAAATAACCATCGATTACATTTATCATCGAATTCATTCGATTCAAAATTTTGTGATATCACAGTGACAACATCAGATGATCGTTCAAGTGGATATGGATCGCCTAGTTCACCTGGAAATAGTTTTCATGAGAAAATATAAATTGGTTTCATTTTCGAGAGAGTATATACACACTTTACTATGGAATCTTTCATTCAAATAAAGAATTTTATTACAACAATACTGTCACTATAATAACAAGAAACTCAGTCAATACGTAACAATCTCAAAGTTTAAAGACTTGTGAATACATTCCTCAAATTCGACATTCCCTAGAATTTCTCATCATGATTTCATGTCAGTAAATATTCCCATTGTTTAAAATTAAAACAAGATATGTAGGCTCATGTGTGTTGTTTTAATTATATGAACTGAAATTTGTAGATGCCTCAAGGTGGAACATCATTTTCCACCGGTCGCATGCACCACTATTACGTAACCTAAAATACAGGCAAATCAGATATTTCTGTATATTTTTACGAGTTGGTCACGGATTGATATCAGTTAGAGAACCATTGAAAACCAGTCACAGGGAGTACTGGACAGCTGCTGTTTCATCTAGTTAGTTTGGGGATCATCGACAGTACGCACCCACCAACAGGGTTCGAACCTAGAGCCTTCCGGTTACAGGGCAAGCTCGTATACCATTCACCACTGGGAGCCGATTCAATGCCTGCCAGACGATGAATTCTAACTTCTACCAATTAGTGATTTAGCGCGACCCCAACCAATGTTATTGCTGGGACATCCATCCTGTATATGTACTTTTTTAATTCTCATTTTGAGACGTCAAATTCTCAACTAGCGGATTAAGTAGGAATGATTTTAAGGACCTTGAAATATGCCAACTTTTAGTTACTCTTGAACAAAGCAAGAAAGACAAATGTGCCGGGATAGACATGACCGGGCTCATCTTTTATTATTTTGAGGATTCTTCTCAAGTGGTTGGCTGCAACGTGAACAATACAAAAAATATGAATTACTTTAAAGATATGAACAAAATTTCTCCATGATGACAAGGACTAATTGGTAGGAACTAAGAGTAACATTAGTCAGCGATGATGTAAGTTGTTAAATAATTAGGAATTTATTAGATAATTAGACGAACAGCCTTGGAAACGAAAGGACGGAGTTCAACAGAATTTTGTCGGTAGACACAAGGTCTAACAAGAAAGAGTATAACAAATAAGTGGTTACTTAATCGCAAAAACTACCTTTTTATAAAATGGTCAAAAATGGAGGGAAGTCGGATGAGTCAAGTTCAGACAAAAACTAAAGTTTTCTAAACAGGAAAGAAGATGATTTAGTAAAATTTGCATACTTTTTATCACCAAAGTAGTATAATATTCATCACTGTCTCTTTCTGGGTACATAGATTTGGTTTTAAACGTCTTATGGCGATGGCCCCAGGAAAACTTAGCAGGCTGGGTTTGTTTTCTCTGTCGATTACTTTAAACGTCTTTAGATTATCCACAACATGGCCGATGACCATTCGAAGGCGCGCAATAACACTGTTTAATGCCTGCTAACCGTTTAGTCTCAGGTTCTTTGGTACGTGTTTAGAAATTCGGATAATAACCTTTCTCTCTGTCCTTCCAATGTATGTGCTTCGGTAATTACATGTAAATTGATAGACACAGTTGGAGATGACATGAGATAGGGGTTTGTTCACTTATGACTGTCTCATACGACTGGTCATTTAATATACACATATAAACTCGGTGGTTGGATATGTTCTTTTCAGAGCAGTGTTCAATCTGCATCTTATTCTACTAACTGTATCATCACTTTGAAGGTAAGCTGTAGAAAGATGAACTGCTCCTCTACTGTGCTGCATTTCACTTTTCAACACTACTTTTTCCATGTTTGTCGATGAACATCTCTGGATAACCATTGTTACACAGGCATTTTTCCAGTGTGGATAGCTCTTCTTCAATCCTTTCTCCTTTGTAAAGCTCTCTCACATGATTAAACAATCTTCTCGCCAATCCCTTTTGTAATTTATAGGACAGAAGCTTTTGAAGTTAGGTTTTTATTCAACCAATGACAATAATGTTCCACTTATGTCTAGCTTCAATCAGAACTAAATTTTGAACTTACTGAAACGCATACTGTTTATCAGTAGTCTGTTCCCCTAAAAGACTGAAATTTTTGAGTTCTTCATATGCTGTTCCTGACTGTAGCAAATGCTTTTACAGATGTCAACAAGTGATTTACAACAATTAAAACTCTGGGGAACAATCATATTACCAAAATGACCCACCTAATGAGAACACTATTTTCGGTCAATAAAACTTTACCAATGTTATTCCTTTCTTAATACTGTGTTTAATACCCTAACTGTTTCCTGATGAATTCACCGATATACATATATATTTGGATAGCGTTGTTAGAAGACGGAGATTATCTGAAAAATGTGATGTATTTGCGCCTTACATTTCGAACAATCTGATCACACACTTACTTGTTAAGTCGATATATATGAAAAAATTAAGGGCAAAAAAGGATTTAAGAATGATTAACACAACGTTTGGTAATCCAATCAAATAAGGATTACCAAGGTAATAGTAAATTGTTTTTGAGTACATAGGTGGGGGGGGTAAGTTTATGAATAGTTATAGCCTCGGCGTATTTCAATAAGCGCCCTTGACCGTTTTTATAGATAACCTTAAAGGTTGAGTTAACATCAATCTTATGGTTCATCTCGATTAGGTGTTTAGCTATAGACGAAGTTGGTAGTCTGACACCTGCATCTATTGGTTTTCTAACCATTTTGGGATATGCTCTCTCACCCTCACATGCAAAGCGCAATTACTCCCCCCTATGTATGTGTGACCACACACACACGAAAATTGGTAAATAGTGTGGGATGTGACATGATCACTTGTGCACTTTTGATGTTTGCAGTGGAGCATATTTTTAGCTTTTTCGAAAATTACAAGCTGGGCTGCATAATAGGTTCTACGAATGATCGAATTCAACCTTTGTCTCAAAATCCTACTGGTTATTTCCCCGTTATATGGTAATTTGATGAAAACATTTTTCTTAACGGCGGTGGAGATTGTAGGTTTAGAGACTAATTGACTTCTACACCTGTTTAAAAATTTTCAAGGATATCCGTTATCAACAAGAGTATCCATCAATATTTCGTTTTCTTTGTCTATAACATCAGCCGTGCAAACACGTTGAGTCATCTTAAATAGACATTTCACCAAGCCTCTCTTATACTGTAATGGACAGAAACTGTCCAAGTGGGCTTTCTGTAGATTGATCGTCTTATTGAGCCATCGTCTCTTCGACTCAGAAGTATGTCTAAAAATGCGAACTGGTTGCGACTTTCTTCCTCGCATGTAAGACTAATATGATTCTGTACAGAGTTAAAGTCTGTCAAATATATATATATATATTTCATGAATGTGTACATTAGGACTGTCAAACAAAAATAAAATAAAAATTAGTTAGGGCTACTGTTTATGTCATAAGATTGTTTCTGAAATGTGATGGATAATCAAATTGTAACTGGGGGTGGTGAAGATCGTTAAGAATTGATAAGGGTTGCGTATTATGAAATAGGGTGTTAGTGGAGACATATGTCCAAAAAATAAATTGCACAATAGGTAGACAGAGTAAATAAAGAGTTGGTCAAGAAGATGTTAATAAGATGCCATACAAAAATTGAAAAAACAAAAAAGGAAACAAAACATTATTAACAAAGTCGTAGAACTTGGAATTATACCCAAGGTAGAAGGAGGAGGTGGAGAAGTTTCTCCTGTGAGCATAAATCTGGGTTTTCTATCCCAATCACTAATGCCTCGGCAGTGCAACGCATACGGAAGCTAACCGTCTTCGTGAGGCTTCTTTTGACTTTTTAGATGACTAAGAATGAATTCTCCGTGCATATTGTGTGACAAGTGTTGACTGTATGTTCAATTATAGCGCTCTTTATTGATTCACTGTTACCTTTTCGTAGCCAAGAGGGATAATGTTCTTTGACTCTTTTGGATAAAAGACGCATCGAACGACCTATATACCTCGCTCCACATGACCAAGTAAATTGGCTTGAATTTCCGAGGATTTTCCTGGTCATACAGCCAATCGGATATTGATTATTTATTTATGTACAAAAGGAAAATATGAGAGTGATAATATTGAATTAACTGTTAAAGCAAAAGCAAACTGAAGGTAAAATTGAAAATTAAAAAGTTTTTACAGGGAATGACTAGTGAAAAGGTTAAGACCATGGTAGAATAAGAGACTGGACAAACTTTTTCTGTATACAGAGTTCGGGGTTGTATTGACCAATTGCCAATGACTCCGCCGTACACAAAAGCCGAAACCTGACGCCCTTTGTACCATTTGGCCTCACCTTGTAGATGATCTCGAAAAACTACTCTGGTGGAGCTTCAGTTCACCAAGTGCTTGAGAATTGTGCTAGTAATTGTCTAGCATTGTCCTTTTTCTGGCCATGTCGGATAATGTTCAGAGATGCGTTTGGAAAGTGTGCGCTTTGTGCGGCTAATATAACTAGCACCACACTAGCAGGTGAATTTATAAACACACATCGAAGTGGCCCAAAGGGGTAGTTTATTCTTCACACATCCATTGATCACTTAACAGCAATTTTAACCTTATCAAATTTCTAACTTTGTGCAGTTGAGTACCACGTAATTTACAAGTTTTATTTATTGATGGTTTAAATTTCCTTGGACGTGTCAACGATGTATATACTCCTTTGAACATAAAATGAAAATAAAAAGTGAGGCATAAAATGGACCCACACAGAAACTTGGAGGATCTAGACTTCGCCGATGACATATGTCTGATTTCCCACAAACTGGAAGATATGCAAGTGAAAAGCGACAAGTTGGTAGAAGAAGCATCAAAGATAGGAATTCAGGTGAACATAGAGAAGACAGAGGTGATGAATATTTCTGGCCAACAGTAACAGCAACTGCAACAGACAGCAATCAGCATAAATGGTAGAAATCTGAAAGAAGCAACCTCCTTCACATACCTACCTGGGAAGCATCGTTTCAACTACAGACGGAACTGACGAGGATATCAAGTCTGTGTGGAGGTCAACAACACTCAGCATGAAAAATAAGATCAGGATTTTCAACTCCAATGTGAAGTTAGTGCTTTTCTATGGATCAGAGACTTGGCGCGTCATAAAGAGCATCTCGAACAAACTACATACCTTCATCAACAGCTGTCTTCGCTCAATACTCCAGATCCGATGGCTGGCCAGAAAACATCAGCAACAGGAAAGGATCTCCGGGAACGAACCAACCAGGAACCGATTGTGCAACTAA